TGGTGCTCTAGGCCAGCTCTGCAGGGAGGGCCTGGAAATGCGACTTCCGCTCTTGCAACATGACAGCCCCAGCTCCTTCCAGCACTGCTGCCCACATGTGGCAAAGACTGGGTACCTGTTACCAAGTCGTTAATCATCCCCAAGACAGCCTGGGATGAGCACAGTGCAGGGAGCCCACTCTGGGAGCAGGGACCCCTGACAGGAAGAGTGTAGCACAGACAGGGACAGACCTCAGGCACTGGAACCAGCCAGCCCCTGGTGAGAGTGACGCCCCATACTCTAGGATGTGCCCAAGGGCCCCTGAGGGCTCAGCAAGGAGGCGTGTGTAACCCACAGCGTGCTCACCACAGACTGCAGCCCGCCTTGCCATCAAGAGTAGACTTTGGGGGTCCCCAGTACACCTCAGTGAATCTAATTTATTCCGAGTGCAATACAAAGAAGTGGCATAAAGGACAGGAGTAGAATGTGGCCACTTTGGCTCTTGTGGGTCATCCAGAAAGACTGCCCTCTTCGGGCAAGCTGGGTGTGGAGCTGGGCTGGACTGAGTATCACCATCTGAGAGAGACACTGCAGCCTCCCTGTGCAGACAGATAGGAGGTTAAAGCTTTTGCTGAGGTCTAGCAGGGAAGTCTCACCCTGGGACCGAAGGAGCCCTGGTACATGACATCTTTGGGTACTGCAAGGGAGAAAGACCCCCGCCATCCTGCCTGTCCTTATGTGGGCTCTGGGTCTAGGAACCCCCTTAACACAAGAGCTGGCTCACCAGAGAGTGACGAATGTGTGAAGGAATGGCAGGATCTCTAGGCTGGATAAGAACCTCTGGGGTTGATACTAAGAGATCTAGGGCGGCTGTAGAAGCTTGTGGAGAGAAGGGCTACTTCAGATTTGGTTTATTAAGGGTTATTACAGCCTCCGAATTAGTCTCTGCTGATCCAGGCTGTTTTTGAGCCTTGCTATGTGAGCCATTGCTCCCGAAAGAACCTTTATGTTTGCAGCATGTAGGACAAGTCAGGCCAAATGGCCCTTTCTGAAGTAACAGGTCCTCGAGTGATCACAGCTTGAACTAATCAATAGACCAGCTTGGAGCACTTTGAGATGTGGCATCTTGAATACCTTCAATGTCCACATCTTCCCCATCAGGTCAAAATATCTCTCCCTGCCTGTAACCTCAGTGCTCTGGGAGGTTGAGGCAGTAGGACCTTGAGTTCCAGCCCAGCCTGGGCAACTTAAGGACTTAGCAAGACCCTGTCTCAAACGAAAAATAAAAAAGGGTGATGATGAGGTTCAGGGAGGTCCTGGGTTTGATCCCCAGTATCGAAAAAAGAAAAAAACCTCTCCTAGCAGCCAGTGCTGAGCTGTCCCCAACCCCAGGCCCCCAGAGAGGTTTTCTGTGAAGCTTTGCTCTGGGGTGTCCTGGGGGATCAGGAATGATGGGGAGGTAGGTCAGAGGGAGAGGACCAGGAGTGAGAGGCCACCACAGATGTGTAGGCCGCACCCACCCACCCCTGAAGGGGCTTCTCTTGAAGCAGCCTCACTTCTGGTCATGCTGGGCTAGTGCCCGCCTCTCCTCCGCTGCCCGGAGTCTGCAGAGGGTGGGCCCCATCTTAAGCGGCAAGGATAATACCCACACCTCCGATGACCGCCTGGCCACGTTTCCCTGCAAACTGGGACTTACAATTGGACGGTTAGTGCTCAGAGTAGGTGCTCCGTCACGCACAGGTCACGCAGAACCCTAGCCCACCACGTTCCACTCTGTCTTCTTCCTGGATCACCAGTGCTGCTTGGAGTCGATGACCGGTGAGCCCAGCTGCTGCCTGCTGCGTGTCCCTGGATTTCTGTCCATTTGTCACCTGAGCAGCTGTAGGTCCTGTCTTTAGTGGCGGGGCCTCTTCCCTGTCCTCCAGTGGCCTGGGCTGCAGCCAGTTCCAGGAGTGAGTGAAGATGACCAGCACCTCCCATCTGATCATGTGGCCGTGGCCAGGCCACAAGTGGCCACGAGAACCCCACCAGCCACCATCAGCCACACAAGCCAATGCCTTCCCGTAGTGCTGGATGAAGGTAGTATGAGTTGGAGTTTCACGTCACTTTTTGGAAGGAGGAACCCAAAAGAGATACATGGGATGATTTCTGATTGCTGTCCTCAAGTGAATTAGGGACCTGTTCCCAAATCCCACATTTTCCAAACAACTTGAACATGGGGAACTGTCCCCAAGGGCTGGGACATACACTCAGGCCAGAGGAAGCCCCGGTTTGGAGGCTGCCTTTATGAAGGGGAGAAAAATGTGAGGGCGGCAACATTTTAGGCACTTTCTTAGTCTGCTTTTTGTGCCTGTAAGGCAGTAGCTGAGAGAGCGTGGTTTGTAAAGGAAAGAGGCTTTTCATGCTCACGGTTCTGGGAGCTAGAAGTCCAGGAGCACAGTGCCAGAATCTGTTTAACTCCTGCAGGGGGCCTGGTGCTGATCTACATGTAGCAGTAAATGGAAGGCAAAGGGGTGCCAGGATGGCAGGGAGGGGCTGAACCCCCACACTAGCCAACGTGGTCCGGCCAGGCAGTGTTAACCCATCTGTGAGGCTCTTCCCAGATTGGCCAGCCAGGCCCCACACCCAGGCTCCTTCTGGTCTTGGATTCGAGGTCCGTGTCCAGATTTCCCCTTTCTAGGAGGAAACCAGACTTAGTGGAGGGGCCCCCACTGCAAATGACGACCCTTTGTCCCCGGCTCATTCTCTTCCTACCTGGCAAATAGTGACAGAGTTACACATTGGCCCACAAGTCCACATCTGCAGTCACATGATGGACTTCTGTCCCTCCCAGGGCTTAACAACAGGGTGGGAACGAGGAGCGCAGGCTCCCGCCGGACTCTGCATGTCCCCTCTGGGACTCGGGGCCAGCTTCCTCATTCAAACGAGGGCCACACACCACTCAGTAGCATTCAGCCTGCACACTTGACTGGGACGGCATGAGCAAAGCTGTGGCCCCCACGAGCACCCTGTTTCCATCCACTGCCCTGTGTAAGTCCTCTCGGCTCTCCTTTGGGCCACTGATGCCAGCCCTACCAAAGAGCTTTCATTTTTGCCTGGGGGCAGTTGAGGGTCAAAACAAGGGCCAGAGGGTGACGCTTATTTGTGAGCTTTGTCCCCAGATAACTTTATCATGTCTGTCCTCTTCAGGGGGTTTGATCATTGGGGGTATTAACCAGCTTTGCTTTTATAAAATCACTGGGATATAAACACACTACACTGTTCAACCAGAGAGGTTATACGTGGTGCTAGAAAAGAAAGGTCTTGTGGACCCTTGAACCATCAAGGAAGGATGGGGACCATGGAAAGTCCAGCCAGGAAGGCCTTCCAGAGGCAGGACCAGCTGGGCAGGAGCCACCGGCATGTGGGCTGGGAATGTGTTCCCACCTTAGGCAACGACATGGGCAGGTCCTCCTCAGCCATCAGGTGGAAGCAGGTGGTAGGTGACCACTTTGGAGGTTTACAAAAATAGCGACTTCGCGTGGTTCACCTTAATTCTAGAGAAAACGGAAACACCTCAAGTTTGAATCTTTGAGCCCACATGTCAACACCTGGGCAGTGGCTCTAGCGCCCCTGGAATCCTTGGGGCTCCTCGAATGGACCAATGCCTGTACTGGACCAATTAAGCCCCAGTTTCTGGAAGTAGGGTCTCCTGCGGGGCGGGGCCCCTAGGTCAGTCTCCAGATCTCCCAGCAGTGAGTGAAGGTTCTCTGCAGTTCTTACCCTGCTCTGGGCCCTCCAGAGGGGACAGATTCCCTCAACCCTTTTGGGACAGAGGCCTTTACCCCAGGGGCCACCTCAGCAGCAGGTCCCCACAACTCACAGTGAAAGGACATCTGCATCCCACACCTGTCCCGTCGCCCTCACTGAACGTTCCTGCCTTCGGCGCTACTCCTGCCCAGCCCCGCGTTCCCTGCAGCCCAGTCCCGTCTCCCCTGGACACAGCGGCCCCATCGGGGCTCAGTTCTGCACCGGGGACTTCAGTCTTTTCCACCGCCCCAGGGCACAACCCGGACGCGGCAGGCCACAGCCCCGAGGAAGCCTCCTCCTGCCCCGGGGTCCCCAGCCGAGCGCAAACTCCTCTCAGGTGGCCCGGTTTTATTTAGAGGGGGGATCCGTTTGTCAGGACCCTCCCTTCCGCCACAAGGAATTGTTTGAGTCCCCAAGGGCTCAAGGGGGCGGGTTCCGCTGCGCACAGGTGGAGGAACCGCGAGGCTCGGCGGCCCAGCAGCGGCGGCCAAGGTCACGCGACCCCTCCGGCAGGCGGGCGGACACCCGGGGCGCAAAGCCGGGCCTTCCCGGACTTCGGCGCGGTAGCCGCCGAGGACCGCGGACCGGGAGCGGGCGGGCGCAGTGCGCAGGCGCGCGGGGCGGGAGGGGACGCGCTCGGGGCGC